CTACACTATTCAGTAGCAGCTTTGCTGCCTCCATGCTCTGCTACTCAACAGTGTTTCATACCTGCACTACAGGACAGCTTTACTCTAATGTTTAGAAACTGCTGAACACAAAGATATCTCATTATCACTCAGCTTCTCTCGGTCCTGACAGGAGAAGCATGAAGTGTAAAACAGGAAGCACATTGTTGTTTCAGTTAACAGAAAGACTCTGACTGAAAGCAGCTTGGTGAAAACCTTCAGCTCATCAATGTGCTCAGAGCGAAAGCTGAAGCTTGCTGATATTTAACATTTTCACCATCTATGCAGGGGAGTGTTTGATAATCATCACTCTGAGGCTCTGCTTACACTACAGACTGCACTTTCTGTAATATATGCTGTACTCATATATACATTTAAACATGTCAAAAACAGATGAATGTCCTACCCGTGCAATATCTGGCTCAGAAGCAACGAAGCTGCAGAATCGAGCCATGGCTTTGGGTCCGTCTAGCATCCCTTCATCCATGTTTATATCCAGCACCTGAGCTCCCATCTCCACCTGGGCCTTAGCGATGCTCAGCGCCTCCTTCACATTACACAGAAAAGACACAATCCTAATCAAACTTCTGAACGTGAACAACACTAATATTAAAAACAACACCAATAAATTCAGGTAATATTATTAAATTAAACTACCTCATAGTTTCCAGCCATGATCAGCTTAGCAAATTTGCGTGAGCCAGCCACATTGCAACGCTCACCGATGTTTATGAAGTTGGTGTGTGGGCCCACGGTGAACGGTTCTAACCCTGCAAACAAAAGAGTGTGTTGTGTCCTGCATCAAGTTGAATCAACAAGCAGCAAGCTCAGAACAGCTGCTTTGGTTCTGTCAGGTTCTGCATGTTTATACTCAATGTCAGGATTTCTTTTAAAGTTTCAAACTCCTGCTGAAGAAACCAGGAGATGGAAATGAAAGCAGAACAGCATTCAGAGTTGTGCAACAAGTTTCAAAGTCTGACGTGCAAACACCGTTTCTACCCTGTGTGTCGTTCTGCAGCTTTACACATGGTAACGAGAGGTTTTCCTACCAGAGAGCAGCAGGTAGTCTTGATAAATATCAGCAGCAGGAGCTCTGGGCACACAGTGTCTGACTGCTTCAGCTATGGCTCTGCATGGGAGGAGGAAACAGAAGACTCGAGTGTTATATTTGAGGCAGACGTTTCATTATGAAAATGTTACACTGACCTTATGTGTGATGGAGTCGTTCCACAACAGCCTCCCACAATATTCACAAGTCCATCCATAGCAAACTCCTGCAGACATACGACTGTGAATGTATAACAAAACTAAAATGTCTTCCACAGAGTAAACACTAATGTAAACAGTTAAACTCGGAGGGAATGTCAAACAAATGTCCAACAAGTTTTGAGGAACTCCGAAAGAAAAAAATCCTCCAGTCTTCTTCGAGGTTGGCAAGGCTAAGTGTCAAAACAAAATAAAAACAACCCCCCCAAAAAGAACCGTAACAGGCAAATTTGGGAAATTTTAAAGTATTTTTTCAAGTAAAAACTAACAAAAGCAATGAGGCAATTTTTGTATTCTTTTTAAAGATTTGAGTATGTTCTTGTCATTTTATTTGATTGTTTTTGGCAGATTGTGAGCGAGGGCTCTCTCACATCATTTTCCCTCCTTACTGACCGGATTCTCCTGTTTTTTAGTTATTTTTAGTTTTTTTTTTTGCTTCAGCAGGAAATCTTCATCCTAACTTGCGTCTTAACCGGAAACCCATTTTAACCCAACACATTAACCTTCATTCATTCAGAGATCGCTGTGCTGACCCAACGTGTAGTTACAGGTTATGTGGAAGGTTACAGCACAGGGTTACAACGGGCGTCTGGTTACGACAGACTTTCCACAGAAGTCCAAACAAAGTCAGCACAACTCCTAAACAACCCCAGACGGGTTAAAGTCTTTTAATACTGTTTTCAGTCACACTGGACGGCAGCTGGCAGGCCTGCAGCGTGATTAAGCTGACAGTAGCTCCTGCATGGAAGCTGACAAATGAGGTCAGCTACAGGTGATCAAGCTGGGATATCAGGATATCAGATTCAGGAGGAAATCAG